AATCTGGTGTGTCAACCACTGGGCCCTGAACCCCACCTTGGGTGGGTGCTGGGGGGCAGCTCCCAGCCCGTGGCTGCCAGAGCTGAGGGCTGGTCACCTTGTTTCTCCACAGGCAGAAGTGAAGGTGCTGAAAGACCGGCTGGAGATGGAGAAGCAGGCCTGGGAGGAGAACTACATGAAGAAGGAGGTAATGGCAAGGGCTGCCCTTTTCCAGAGGTGCCACCCCTGGGCTCTGGGAAGGACTGAGGCAGTGTTTGCTATCTCTGTCCCCAGGAAGCCTGGCTGCTGTCCCGGGAGCAGGAGCTGCGGGACGAGGTGAGGAAGGAGAGAGACAAAGAGATCGAGGTGGTGATCCAGCGCCTGGAGGCTGACATGTCCTTGGCCAAGGAGGAGTGTGAGAGGGCAGCGGAGAACAGGTGAAGAGGAGAGGGAGTGGCTGGGATGGTCCTGGCAGCACAGGGCTGAGCCAGGCTGCCTGTCCTTTCCTCCCATTAGGATAAAGAGGATCCGAGACAAATACGAGGTGGAGCTCCAGGAGCTGGAGAGGTCGGAGCGGAAGCTGCAGGATCGCTGCAACGAGCTGAAGGGGCGGCTGGCAGAGCTGGAAGGGGAGAGCATCCGTCTGCAGGGCCTGCTGAAGCACAAGGAGCAGGAGGTGGAGGAGATCCAGAAGGTGGGTTGGGAGCAGAGCCTGGGGCTCTGGCTTCTCTCCGCTCCATCCCCCTGCATCGCCCTGTGCCTGTTGGCACCTTGGTGTCACCTCTGTGCCCTGCTGCAGGTGAGGGACGAGCTGGCCCAGGAGCGGAGCAGCCTGACAGAGGTGATCCGGCAGGAGTTTGCTGACAGGCTGGTGGGCACCGAGGAGGAGAACAAGCGGCTAAAGGTGGAGATGGCAGAGATGAGAGCCCGGCAGCGCCTGGAGCTGGACAGGATACTGAGGGAGAAGGACCAGGAGCTGGAGGAGGTGCACAGGAGGTGAGGCTGAGCGGCCCCGGGCACGTCGCAGGAGCGTGTCTGCAGTGCTGTGTCCTCGGGCACAGCTCCCAGTCCCCAGCGGGCAAAACGGGCAGTGGAGTCTCACCCGTGCTGGCTGCCTGCTCAGCCACCATCAGGACTCTGGCCCTTGTGACTTCTAGCCTGCTTGTGTCATCCTGTCCTCAGGGCTGCTCCTTTGCATGCCTGGGGACACGAGCAGGCAGCTGGAGCAGTCTGAAGGCTCCTGCCAGGAGAGGCCAGTGTTTGAGCACACAGAGCTCACTGGTGTTCCCAGGTCGGGCTAAGTGATTCCCACACTGAGAGCCAAGGTCATGCCTTGGATATGAGATAAGGAGGATCCCCTTTCCTCTTCCGCACAGCCTGGCAAATGTTGGAACACAAAGTCTGGTGCTCTGAGAGCTGTGGGGAAGAGTCCAGCCATGAGACAGCTTGAGAAACGGGAGGAAACTTAAAATCCCCTCCCTGTGGTCCCATTAATTAATTAAGTCTTGTGAAGTGAATGGCCTCTTCTTCCTTAGATGACTCAATCCGAGCTATATCACACCAGCAAGGGAATGAATGTGCTTCTTGTGTGTAACAGCACCCTGAGCCATCTTTGAGGGTGTTGGGGGGAGAGGGGCTGCAGCCCCCCCCCATGTTGAAACCACCCTCCTGGGGCACAAGGCCAGCCCAGTGTTTGGGGCTGTGTTCCTCAGCCTCCGTGTCCCTCTGCTCAGGGTGAAGACAGCAGTGGTGAGGAAGGCAGAGAGCGTGAGCAGCCTTCGGAAGCAGTACGAAGTGAGTGAGGGGGGCAGCCGGCCCCAGCCCCCCCTGCCCAGCTCTGCCCGGGGGGCTGCCAGCTCCCCCTCTCCTCTGCTCTCTTGCAGGCGGCCGTGCAGCGCGCCGACCGCCTGGAAGCCCTCCTGAAGCAGCAGCAAAAGCAGCTGCTGGCTACCAAATAACCATTCGGGGCTGGGGGGGCTCTGAGGTGCTCTCCAGACCCTGCTCGGGGGGAGCAGACACCCGTGGGTGTGGGGCTGGGCTCTCCCTTCCTTCCGTCCTCGTTTTCCACAGCCTGGTCCCGGTGCTGGGAGCCCTGCCGGAGTGCCTGGCTGGCCTCAGATGTTTGGTGTTTTAGCAATAAACCTGCATTGGTTTCTACAGCCTGCCCTGTCCCCTGGGGAAGGGGAGGGGGCCCTGGCACCCCCCACTCCTTTTCCTTGTCTGCTGTGTCCCTCCCCTGTGTGCATTGGTGTGAGTGGGTGCTTGACCCTCCCTGCACCATCTTCCTGCATCGCAGGGCCTTTTCCGTGGCAGGGTATGTGGGACCTGCAGGTCAGGGCTGAGCTGGGGGACAGAAATATGGAATTTTGAGGTTGGGGGGCTGAGTTGAGCCCCCCATGTTCCCGCTAGCTGCCGAGTGGTGCATGGAGGTGGGCGCTGTAGCCCAGCAGCCCACGCACGGGGGTGCTGGCTCCGGGGGCACCCGGTTCCCCTGCCCTGCGCTTTCCTTCCCTCCTGAAACGGAATAATAGGGCAGGACGTGGTCCCGCAGCGTCTGGTACCTGCAAATCTCTCAGCACCCTGTGACAGCGACGGGAAATGCCTGGGCTGGGCCGGCAGCATCTGTTTCCTCTGGGCGGGAGCGTGCGAGCGCCCCTCCGCAGCCCTTCCCTCCGAGCAGCGCGGGGCTTGGCGCGGCGGGCGAGCAGATGTTTGCTCCGCACATTCCCAGGGTGTTTCCCATCCGTCCTGCCGGTCTGTGCACCAGGGAGAAGTGGCCGAGGAGACCCTGGGGCAATGCAGAGCTGCAGGGTGAGGTGCAGAGGGACCCACTGTCACCTTGGGAAGCTGCAGAGGAGCTCGGCTGCTTCCCGGTGCTGGCGTTTGTCCCAGCTGCAGCTTCCTGGGGGAACACAGTCCCAAGGCCCCCAAGGATGCTGTTGTGCTCCTTACCCTGCCCATGCTCGGTGTGAGTGTTCTGGGTCCCCAGCACGCCCTCCAGTGCTGGGGTGCTGCTTGCTGGGTCCTGCCCAGCCCCTTTCCCTTCTGGCTGCTCCACTTGAGCCATGGGCTGAGCTGGTCTCTGTTACCCCCTCCCTGAGCTGCCCCTCAACCCGGGAGGAGCGCACAGCCCCGTTTGGCCCGGGGCTTGTTTTCACTGTTGTTGCTTTTCTAAGGACCGTTTCCTGAGCTCTGCTTCCGTCTCCCAGCCCTGCTTGGGCCACCCAGAGCCTTTTGCCTTTGTCTCCTGCTCCCAGCCCTGGCCGGGCTGTGGTTAAACGGGTTAATCATGTGAAATCTGGCATGGGAGGGGAATTGGGACTGAGCCCCCCCCAGCCTGTCCTGGGGGGCTTGTGCCTGTGCACAGCCCTGGTGACCATGAGCAGAATGGCAACTTCCTGAGCCTTGGCCAGTGTCACTGTGTGAGCTCCCTGGCTGTCCAGCTGCGTTCCCCGGGGCTCAGCCCTCCCCTGGGGCTCCGGCATCCTCCCAGCCCTGCCCCTCCCCGGCATCACCAAGGCTCATTTCTAGGCCAGTGCCCAGTTCAGGCATGAATAAATCAGTGGCGTTGCATAACCGGGGATGCGGATTTTCACCAGATCGCGGCCGGGGCCGGGCCCCCTCCTCCCTGCACCCGGGGGTCCCCCGGGACCGGGGCTGCCTTGTCCAGCGCTGAGCGAGGCAGTGGGGGTGCGGCCGTCCCAGGCTTTGCCAGAGATCCCCGGTTAAGGAGCCCTTCTCTCCCTGACCCGGGATTAGGTGGGATGAGCGGAGCCCGTTGGCTGCCGGCGGCTGTGCCGGGGAGGTCAGGAGCACAGGGGGCTTTTGGCAGCTGCCGTGCGGAGATCGCGGCTCAATCTGGTGTCTGTCCCGCGGGGGATTAACCGCTGCCCCAGACAAAGCAGCCGGGAAGCTGGAGCAAGTTGGCAGGATCCGTGTGGGGTAATCGGCCCGGCTAATTGGGGTGAGCGTGCTGCTTGCCTGCCCGGGACACGGCAGCAGCTCTGTCCAGCCCCGGAGGGGACAATGGCCATGCTGGTGCCACCTTGTGCCTCTGCCCAGGGAGGGCAGGACAGTGGAGCCAGGCTGGGCAGGCATGCACCTTCCCATCCCTATCCCAGTCCCATTTCTGTCTCACCCTTGTCCTTGTCCTAATCCCATTCTCATTTCCATCCCAGTCCTCCATCCTCAATCCATCCCGGTCTTCCCCATTTTATCCCATCCCATTTTTTCATCTCTATCTTTTCCTGTTCCAGACATGGGTTGTGCTGGGTTCCTGCATCCTGGCCCCACGTGGCTGCCCACTCCCCATGGCACTGGGACTGCTCCGGTGGGTTCTGATGGCACTGTAGCTCCAAGAGAGCACAGATTGCCCCTAGGATGCCAGGGCAAGGCCTGGGAAGGCATATGGGGGGGTCCTGGGGGTGGCTGAGGGGGGCAGTGGCCCGATGGGGGGTCAGCCATTCCCCCCGTGTGGAGGGACCTTGTGGCCGGAGCAGGGAAGAGCAGAGGCTGGGGAGAAGAGAGCTGGCTCAGGCTGCCGGGAGCCTGTTTATTCTCCCAGCAGTCTGTGATTTTTCCAGCCCTGTATCTATTTGCAGCGACGTGCCATGTGCAGCGTGGTGTTCTCTGCAAGCCTCGAGTCTTGTAAAAAATTAATTGCGTACGCAAAATTTGGCTTGAAATATTAAAAACCAACCGTGGGGAAGCGTGAGCCCCGTGCTGAGAGCTCAGCCCACGTCCTGCAGGGGTGCCTCCTGGGTGATGGGGTGTCCCAGGGATGGGACCATCCTACTGGCACCCCAAAGGAAAAGTCCTAGCTGGACCCTGGCTGCTCGTTGGGGCAGGGTGGGCTCCCTGCCTGGCTGCACTGCAGCTTGGCCAGGAGCTGCTCAGGGCTGTGGGTGAAGCTGGGACCGTTGGGTGTTTGGAGGGTCCCGTGGTTGGAGGGCACAGCCCCACGTGCCAGGGCTGCGGTGTCAAGTGCACGAGGCTGAGCTGTGTGGCTAAGGGGGGGGCTCAGCTCCCCCTGTCCCAGAGATTGAGGTGCAGGGGTGTCCAGCTGGGGTGGGACTGTGGGGGACTGCACTGTGGAGTGTGTGTTGGGGGCAAGCTGTGGGGCAGAGCCACCCCTGCTGTCCCTGGTCCCCATCCCTGGTCCCAGGGAGCTGCCGGTGCCTTGGGAGGGGCCTGGCCCCATTCCT